TTTCGAGAAGGTAAGTTTTGATCTCTTTAATTTTCGGATCACTAGACTTTCAGCTAGGAAATCCGAACAGATGAAAAATTTTTAGGGAATAAAAATATGCCTATATCTACCGTTTAAATACTAAAATACGTCTAACAATGCTATGTTTAAGTGGTTTTGAACTATATTTTAGTTGGGTGCCCCTGACAAATGCTAGGAGATGATCATCAACTTTAAACATAGCAAACACGTCTTCAACCCTGTTGTGGTCAGTGAGAAGGACTGCTCTAGCTGTTGTAAATTATAGTGCCAAGATTTTAGGTATACCGCATGAACCTGATCGCATGACCTCAAGTGGAACATTCATGTAAATGAAACTATCAAGAAAGCAAATAAGCGATGGTACTTTTTTTTTCTTCTAAAGGGAGCTGGCGTGATCTGTAAAGACATTGTCAACTTCTACTGTACATTAATAAGGCCCGTATTAGAATACCGCTCGCCCAATTTCCACCATAGCCTACCCGTGCTGTGCCGGGTCCAGACCTTGAGATAAGGAGGAGGGGTGGGGGCGGTCTCCAAAAAATTTTTTTTTTCGGCCCTGCGGGCCTCAGTTTGGTCTTGAAATGGGGGGGGGGGGGGTGGGCCCCCTAGGTCCCTCCCCTGGATCCGCCACTGCCGTGTCCCCATGTAAGGGAATCCGGATTCCGGAATCCGTGAAATTTTTTCTTGTGGAATCCGGAATCCTAGGCTTGGGAATCCGAAATACAGCTCACGTGGAGCCGAGCTCCCCCCTTTGTAAATGGCTGTTCGACAGGCAATTCGAAAACGAGAATTCCCAATCCCTGAAACGGGCCGAGAAATGCGTCTAGGCAGAAACGGTTGTACCGCTCTCGCCAAAAAACGAAAACAAGAAAAAGCTGGGATGTCGGGTATGTCAAAACTATAACGGGGAATCTCATACCTTGTCATACTGTTAAACTGACAAGTCAGATCAAACACTTTGCAGAAAACTATGGAACCAAACCCTAAAGGTTGTTGGGCCGCTTTTAAAAGTGAGAACGGAAAATCCTTACACCTACAGCTAGCGATCAGAGGTCAATTTCTGATAAGGCAAAGACAAGAAACTAAAGGAAATCACTGTACAGCACAAGACCACATAACCTCTCAATGAAAGGAACATTTTGCTAAATCCATAATACGAATCCTCCAAAACAGGCTCAAACCCCGGGAAAGCCAAAATAATAATTCTTTCCTCCTTGAAAAAGCTAAAGAATAAATCAAAGAAATCGAAGTGATCTCGTGATATCTCGAACTAATTCGGCTCTCACTTCGTCAAATAGCCGAATAAAACCGAAAACCTACAGACTTTACGTGCCCAATCTTGTCAAAAAAAAGTCAACTTTGATACATTCCTGAGCGTCGCGAATCCTTTACTTCGCGCTCCGCTGAAGTAATAATTAAGCAATTTAACCTGCCGGCTGCAATTTGACTTTTTTAATAAATTACTTTAATAAACCTGTCTATCTATCATATCTGCATCGACAACAGTATAAGAGCGCGCACCACCCGGTTCTGACTGAAGTCGCAGCAATTTATTGCGCAAACGCTGAGTAGTTTTGCCTCAGCTACCCCAAACAACGCTGCGGAAGAAAAACTGTGACATAATAACATGACAAGTTAGATTTCCATCAGTTAGCACGCCAAGGGTGGAATGAGAAAGTTTGATTGGAACGTTACTTTAGTAGATGATGAAGATTAATTGTTAGTTGAGAACTGGAGACTCCAACTTCAAACGTAAGCAGTTACACGGTGCTAGGAAAAAGAAAGAATGCAAGTAAGATTTAGCAACTGAATCAAGAGAGTTTGACACAGTATGAATAAAAAGACCTCAGAGCCGCATTTTACCTCTTGGAAATTTAAGGTGGCTCTAAACCTCTTTGAAAGATTTTTTTTCTATCTCCAAGGGTGGTAAAGGGGTTATTCATGAGGTGATAAAAACCTTTAACAAAGCATTATATTAAGAAAATTGTATGTGAAAAACGAGACAAAATTAACCCTTGAAGGTACATGTAACAATCAGCTGTACATGAAAAAGCCAAAAATCAACTTTAATTCTAGAAAAAGGATATAAAATCAAAAGAAAACTAAGTGTGAAATTGGGTTTAAATTAAAAGTACAGAATTTAGTGAGCAGGTCTATTTTAAATGGCAGAGTATTAATAAGGTTCATGAATAATGAAACAAAATACTTTGCTCTTACTTGTTGTTCTGTACACGTACTATACGGAGGAGGTTGATCTCCATCAT